GCCCCGCTTCCCGCCGTGCCCGGATGCGGGAGGGCGGGGGCGGCCGCGCGGGAGGCGATTGGTTGGCTCAGTCGGCGGCGCGCTCGCTGATTGGGCGGCGCGGGTGTCAATCACGCTGGGGGTCGGGAGGGGCAGGGATGGGGAGCGATCCCGGGAAAAGGAGCCGAGCCTTCCAAATATTGGGGAGTTTGACACACACACCCCCTCCGAACACCTTTACATCACAGAACCCAAAGAAATAGTCCCGTTTGCAGAGAGTTTCTCCCCGCGAGAGCAAATTTTCCCCCCTTCGACCCATTGGTTATCCATCAACACTAAGGGGAAAAAAAAAATAGAGGTTTTTCCTTATTTTTTAGTGTTATTCAGTTACTCTTCGCGGTGTAATTGCGTTTCCAACAAACCCCTCCATACATTGTTACTGAAGACACAGCTGGTCGCTGTATAACAAGTAGGCGAAACCCCAGCCACGAGGCACCAAAAAAATAAATAATAATCGTCAGAATCATAAAATATTGTCTGAGGACAATATTGGCTGGGGGACAAGGTGGGGATCGGGCACGGGGTGGCCTCGATGATCTCAGAGGGCTTTTCCAGCCTCGGTGATTCTGTGATTCCATGAGCCAGCTCACAGCCCAGAGACCAACTGAGTCCTGGGCTACATCCAAAGGAGCGTGGCCAGCAGGTCCAAGGAGGGGATTCTCCCCCTCTACTCTGCTCTGGTGGCACGAGATCGTCTTTAAGGTCCTTCCAACGCCTTAACATTCTATGATTCTGCCCCCGGGGTGTCCTGATCCCCAGGATGTCCCAGTCCCAGGGGTGTCCCGTTACCGGGATGTCTTGGTCTCTGGGGTGTCCCGCTTCCAGGGATGTCCTGATCACCAGAGCATCCCGGCCCCCCGGGTTTCTCCATCCTGGAGGTGTCCCGGTCCCCAGGATGTCCCGGTCCCCGTGTTGTCCCGGTCCCAGGGATGTCCTGGTCACCGGAGCATCCCGGCCGCGGGTTGTCCCGGTCCCAGGGATGTCCTGGTCACCGGAGTATCCCTGCCCCGAGGTGTCCTGGTTCCCGGGATGTCCCGGTCCCTCGCTCCGAACTACGAGTCCCAGCAGCGCGGCGGGACCGCCCAGGGGTGGTACCGGCCCGGGTATCCCGGGCGGGGTATCCCGGGGGCTCCACCTATTCCCGGTCTTCCGCCTGCCCCTCGCAGCCCCGCTCGGTTCCCGTTTTCCAGCCGCGCCGCCGGTGAGTGGGGCGGGGGGAGGAGGCGAGGGGGTCCCGTGTCCCCATCGCGGGATGTCCTCGGGATGTCGGGGCTGGCCGGGGCTGCCCCGTGGCGAGGGGACAGCGACACTTTCGCTTTCGTTTCCCGGGGGGGGCCCGGGCCGGGGGCGGGGGGAACATCCCCGGTTCGCTCCCCCCCATCCAGCGGGACCCCCCGGCGGTGTCACCGGGGACCGGAGCCGCTGTCCCGGTGCCCAAGCGCGGCTGGAAGTCGGTC